ACCCGCTCCAAGTTGCAACACAAACATACAAATCTATACGCCTATTCTGGAACTGTTGACCTCTTGTCTGATGGAGTCACAGACTATTTGGAGTTGAAAGGGACCTCTGGAGATCATCTGGTCCAATGCCTTGCTCAGAGAGGGTCAGCTGGAGCAGGTTGCCCAGATATTCTGGATATTTGTAGAGATGGAGGCCCAGCAACCTCTCTGAGCAACTTGTTCCAGCGCCTGCCACCCTCGCAGTGAAGAAGGATTCTTCTGTGCTCAGATGGAATTTCCTGTATTTCAGTTTGTGCCCACTGCTCCTTGTCCTGTCTTAGGGCACCACTGAGAAGAGGTGACTCCATCTTGTTGACACACTTCATCCATCTTTTTCCTCATGCAGGAGGATATCATAGAGTCAGCATTCATGCCATTAAGTAATGACATGCCTAAATTTCTGTTCTTCTTAAAGTCTCTTTTAATGCTGTTGCCTTCTCAGGACAACAGGCTTCTGGCTCAGAGAGACTGTCAGCTTAGCTCAGGTTTAGAATACGCCTGCATAAGGCTAATCTGTTTCAGGTATCCTCATGGGAGGAGTTTCTTCTGCTTTTGCTGTGCATTTTCTTTTCCTCACCCAGCATGTTTATCCTTGAACTGAAATTAGCTATAAACATAGTCACTTCATGTTTAATTTAAAATAAGCATGTGTGTTAAGTTTAACTGGAAGTTGAAAGCCTGTAGTAATGCAGAAGACCTAAAAGAAACTAACACTTCATGGATTCCTTAAAAAAACGCTTGCATTTTTCCCCTCATCACTCTTTTTTTCCCCAAGATGTGTAATCACTAGTGCTTTGAGTTCAGTCAGCATTCTTAACACAGCAGTTGGATGGAGCAGGAGCCAGCAAACACTGGTTACTTCATGGCAGTGCATTAATAATGGCATTTAGGATTTTATTCTATGACTGAAATGCCTCTGATAAAGTGCCTTGAAAAATGAAAATGTTTGTGCTTGTATCAAAGCCTGGAGGTTGATCCAGATTATACAAGCAGCATGAGTTTAACTTTAGATGAATACCTCTATATTAAGAGATTCTACATCAGAATCAGGTTACTCAGTCTCTTTGCTGGTCTGGCCCTGACTTACTTACCCAGAATTACACAAAAAATCTGTAAAACATCAGGCCATCCAGACAACTCCTTCTCATAAGAGTGTCTCTTATATGCTGTTGCAGGTTTTTGAGGGGTCTTCTGTCTTGTACAGTATTTTTGGCTATTTCTGGAATGAATAATAAGTTCGTCATTTCATGAATTAAGAGAGCACATCCCTTTTTAAGTAGTTTGCTTTATTCACATGATAATGTTTGAATATGGTATTAATTTTTATTTATTGACAAAATACCCTATTTCCATTGAAGTCTATATCTCCTTGTTTTTCAGAGTAAAACTGAAGGCAAACCTTGTTCCTGTGCTATAACTGTAGACACTAACAACAGGAATTGTTGCATGACAGTGAATTGCATCTGCTTCATAGAAGAAAAAGTCCCTAGAGTACAGGCTGTGTAATTAAGATCCTTAGAGGAAGAGATAATTTAATAATTTGTGTTAAAGGCGTTTGGTCTTGGTATTTTGTTTTTCACAGCTTCATCACTGGCCCGTCTGTGGTGCCTGGCTACTTCTCGGTGGAAGCTGAGCACGTGGTGCTGGTTCTGAACGGCAGGGAAGAGGCCAAGGTGGCCCATGCCGCTCAGTGGCTGCTCTATGCCCAGACCCTGATTCACACTCGCCGGATCCGGCACGTCGCTGTTGTGCTGCTTGGAAATGAGCAGTGCCACAACGAGTGGATACGGCCGTACCTGAAAAGAAACGGAGGGTTTGTGAGTCTACTGTTTGTAACGTATGACTATCCGCTGGCCAACGAAGAAGATATTTTCCAGTGGCCTTTGGGAGTAGCTACGTAAGTGCCCTAGACACAATTTATAGTTGAGACTTGCTTGTTGTGCGTGCATGAGGAATGGAAAATACCCCTGGATGTTACTGCGCTCTCCAGAATGATTGAACATGCCTCTATGCAATTTCCTAAATCAAGCATTAGAATATTTAGAAATTACATTCTGAATTTAAAATAGTACATGAAAATTCCTGGGTTTAGGGAGCTCTGTGAAAATTGAGCCATTGCCTAGTAGTGGGTTTTGTTTGTTTATTTTTTGATTTAGTAGATCTGTTCTCAACGTTTATTGTAACTGCTGATATAACATGGGGATTCAAAATTTTTATATAATCAGGTTTCAAGTAGCACTTGTTTAGAATAGGAAGGGCTTAGTGCAGGTGATAACGTTTTGGGGTTTTTTTTCTTCCCTTTGTGGCTCATAAGAAGAAATTGCCTCTGCTTCCTTTCTGTAACTGGCATGGTGCAGGGTTGCAGTAGGACTTAGTTCTCCAGTAGCCTAAGCTCATTTCACCACTTCCTCACAGAAGCAAGAACAAACAAGTTTAGTTCAGTTATAAGGAAACTAGAACAATGAAAAAGTTTGTACCAGCTCCTCAGCTAAAGCGGTGTTTCACTGGCTGTCATGACAAGGAAAATGAATGATTTAGGGATAGCCAGAAGATTAGTGGATGTAGTCCACAAAGATCAAAGTGAAATGTTCCTTTGAGAGGCTACCAGTGGTATATGCAGCTGAGAGGCATGTTCAGAGATTCAGGTCGCTGAGATGTTGACTCTGCAATAACCATTAACCTGGTAAAATGTTTTTTTTTTTTTTCTTTGACATAAAGCATATCATTATCTACTGGTATGTTCTTGTTACAGCTACAGAAATTTTCCAGTTGTGGAACCCAGCTGGGCAATGCTACATAATCCACGATCATATCTGTGCAACTTTTTAGGAACAGTTTATAAAAACTCTTCTAGGGAAACCCTGTTGGAAATTCTGAAACAGGATGGGCTTGATAAACTTTGCTGGATTGCAGCCAGAGAACAGTAAGTGCTTTGATTTACTTCATGAAAGCACTGACTTTCTTTCCTCATTCACTGTTACTAACCTTTTCTTCAGCATTTAATAAAATAGTAGATAAACAGCCATAAATGAAATGGAGAACATTGCAAAGTCTTTTTGTGTAGGCTGTCAGTAACTTAAAAGCCTTGATGTTGCAATGTCTTTCAGAAAGTATAGTTTTAAATACATATAAAAATGTTCTGCGTCTACTAGCTATATATGAAGACAGTCATTTTGCTCTTAGACACATTTGCTTATGGTGGGAGAAAAAATGCTTGTCTTGCACATTGTGCCTGTTAGTGACTTACCAGAAGAAGAAGAGACAACTGTGTTTTGTTTAGTTAGTTTTATAGAAAAGAGTGGATTTAGTATTTTGTTTCAATTAAGTAGACAGGCCTTTTGACTAATAGGTGTAATGTTCTGATTGTATTTTTTAATTTTCCCAAACAATATCTGTCAAATATTTGATAATAGGCACAGTAGTGCTGAAGAAGACCTTGGCTCTCCTGATGAAGAACCTCAGGTTTTACCTGTGCTGTAAACTATGCCACAGAAGCTCCAGGGCACTCCAGGCAGAGTGGCGGAGCAGCAGACCGCTTTACGTTGTGTTTTTGATGAGCAAACCTCTCCTGATTTAAAATATTGGGCAAGAGTTTCATCAAAAAATCCATCGTATGTCTCCCAACATGTCTGTTTCTGAAATAATTTTTAATAAATATTTTAGAAGACTATTTAATAATACTTAACATTTTACTTGCACAAAAATCTGGCTTCCATATGTTCATAACTTTCCCTCTAGTTATAATGTATTCATGCCTGTTGAAAACTGTTAATTTTCAACCCCTTTGTTTTCCAAGGTGGCAGCCTCAAGAAACAAATGAAAGTTTCAGAAATTATCAAGATGCTTTGCTGCAGAGTGATCTGACATTGTGCCCAGTGGGAATAAATACAGAATGCTATAGAATATACGAAGCTTGTTCGTATGCATCTGTGCCAGTTGTAGAAGATGTAATGACACCAGGTGACTGTGGAAATTCATCAGTGCATCACAGTGCTCCGCTGCAATTACTAAAGACCATGGGGGCTCCATTTATCTTTATTAAAGACTGGAAAGAGCTTCCTTCTCTTTTGGAGGAAGAAAAAAAAAAGAGCTTACAAGAAAAGATTCAGAGGAGAAGAAAGCTCATAGAATGGTATCGAAACTTCAAAGCATTGATGAGGCAGAAATTCATTAATACTTTGGAAAATTCATTTTTACCCAGTGATAAAGGATAAATTGTGTTTTTAAAATCTAAACTAGATTGAAAGCTTAATTTCCATTAACCTTCCAATGAAGTTTTCTTTTTTACAAAAAAAAGAAATCCCAAGCCATTCTTTTTGATGTCTACAGAGTTGCACTAAGAGCTAAGTTTGGCCCTCCATCCTTAGCCATCTTCAGAGGGGTTATTGACTTGGAAGGGTAGTAGCCTGCAAGGATGACAGCAGTAATTTTATCACTAATTTTACAATTTCCATGTTGTCTCTCAACTTACTAAAAAAAATTCTTAGGAGAATTTTGAGCATGCGAACTTGTTAAACGCAACATGAGAACATCTGTGTTTAAAACAGATGCATGAAAGCTGAATGGTAAAGAATAATGTATTATGAAGACATAAAAAGTGTGGTTATTGTAAATATGTCAGGTGTAGCACAATCCTTAGGCTGTATCCTGGTAAGCGATTGTTTTGAAAATGAGACCTGGTTATTTGATTGACATATTTCGTTTCCAAGAAAAGAGCCATAAAGCTAATTCAACACACCCATGTTGAATAAAAATGTTTATTTCAAGGTGGAAACTGAGTATCATTTCTTAATGGCATTTAATAGCGAGATGTTTTTCCTTTAATATCAGTTATCAAAGTATCTTCTTTTCATTTCCGTTTAATTTTAGGAAGTATCTTTCTGATGTTATTTTGAGGGCACCTTCATTACCTGCGGTTACAGCTGTATGGCTTGAAGATTAGGTCTTGCATGATCCTGCACATGCCTCAATGTCAAAATCTGCTGGACCCCTCACCTCCAGAGGGTGGTAGCAGTGTAATATTCCATGTCATGGTACTGCTGGTATGGCAGTTTCAACATGTTGAAATGTGACCAAAGGAATCTGTTACTCTTGTTTATCAGAAGTGCATGTGTGCAGTGAGAGCCAGCGTAACTCTGCTGCTAAATAATATTCATTATTTAAGGATACCATCTAGTTTTGGAATATATCGTACAGGAAGGGCTTGTGTGAAATTTCTTGTTTACTTACATCCCATCCTGTGGAAAAATAAAATACCAGCAGTGGATTTTATTTTTTCTGAAAACGGGTGATTGCTAAAGTGACTGCTTTAGATCCGGTATACGGTGCACTTCAGAGTTTATTCTTTATGTAGTCGGGGAGAGAAACAGATGCTCCCAGAAGACAGAAATACAAATGCCCATTCTCTGAATCACACAGCTGGCATTAATTTCATGACTGTGCCCCTCTCTGGTGCCTGGGCCGCCTGCCTCGTGGCAGCACAGCGGCTGGGCCGGGCTCCCCGCGCT